AATAAGATGCTGACTATCATTGCTTCTACTTCATAAGAGTTATGAATAAATAAAAATAAAGCAAAGGCAAAAAAGAAAGAGAAACCTTTTGAAACATAGGAAGGTCTTCTGTTGCATAATGTGTTTGCTGCCAGCTATGGCAGGTGACAATAGTGGGAGACTCTATAAAAGCTTTAATATATTTTATTTCATTTTGTCTTAAGTAATTCTCACTGCAACAAAGTGAGGCAAGTATTGTCATTATTCTCATGTAACCAATGATGAATCTGAGGATCAACACTCACATAGCTAGTCTTTCACAGGACAGAGAATTGAACCTAGGTGTTGTCTGGAACTTATGTGTCATTTCTATGACACCTGTAGAGAGTGATTTTATTCAAATGTGCTAATCAACTATTAACATGGAAAAGAAAAAATGTAGGCGGGAGTGATCAATACTAAGGAATATTATTCTCTGTTATATTTTCCTTGTTTTAAAAGTTATTTTTTAATTATGTAATAACTTACAAATGTATCTCAATCATATGAAGTTCAAATAATAGAGAACTTTATTTCTTCCCCACATTCAGATGTAAGTATGTGGGTAATTTGTAGCTTATCCTTTCAAACTTTTACCATTACTATACATAAATGTAGGTGAATATGTACAAATATGTACAAATATGTGTTTATATACACATATAGAATGTGTATTTGTATTTTTAATGTAAAAATAAGATCAAACCACAGATCATTTTTTTGTAACTTGCTATTTTTGCTTATGACTTGGAGACCTTTCTGTGTTAGTACATTCTTTTTAACTGCTCTTTGCATAGATGTACAATAAGTTATTTAACCATCCTGCTATTTTTATTCCAATGTCCATATTTCCTACTATGGACTGTTTCTGGTTTTGTTACTATTGTTTTGTTTACAAAACAGGGATAACACACAGAGGAAGACACACAAGAAAGGCCATGTGACGATTTTGGCAGAGACTAAAGCAACACAGCTGTAAACCAAGAAATGTGAATGCCAAGGACTGCCAGCAACAATCAGAAGTTAGGAGAGAGGCATGGAACAATGTTTTCCCCAGAGACTCCAGAAAGAACAAACCCTGACAATACTGTGACTTGGACTTTCAATATTCAAACTGTGAGGTAATAAATTTTTGTTGTTTTAAACCACATCACAGTTTGTGGAAATTTGTTATGGCAGCCCTAGGAAATGAATACACTGTTCCCCTGTATCTTCATTAAAATTATCCCAAGAATACCTGCGGGTTAGTTTCTAACCTAGAAAAACAGTAATATGAGTGATCAAGGTTTATCATTTCTAACTTGAGAATACGAATAATCAAATAAAGGACTGTTATAAGGCATTGATGACTAAGAATTAGTTTGAACCTGAACTTTTCAACTTAAGAAGAAAAATCAGTTATAGAGGCAAGGTCATTGTTACTCATTTCTCATATCTAAAATACAGGATTTTTTTAGTCTTGAAGATTAAATTTCTGTAGAACTTTGCTTTTCTACCATCTCAATTTAATTTGTTAACAATGTGACCATAACAGCTGTCATATGATTCAAAGAGCCAACAGGAGAGGTGTGGAAGGGCTTGTGGGCTTTTGAGTCCAGAATCATGTATTGTTCAAGCTGACGCCCTACTTTCAAAATGCCAACTGTGTAGATAAACCCACTTTCTTAAGCAGCAGTTGCAAAAAGAGTGAATATTTCTGCCATTCAGTCCTTTAAAAAAAATCAGCAAATTACCCAAAGGTGGACTAATAGAAATCCCTAATGAAACAGGTTTTTTTTTCTTTCCTTTTTCATTTGTTGTATGAAAATTAGAATAAGCCACACACACATAAGATGCTACTTCTAAGTCTTTCTCAGCACAATATTATGGTTACATTTTGTAGAAGGCCCATATGAGTTACATATCTTGTGAATAAATAAAGCTGTACTTTCAGTTTATCTCTGGGGTGAAATAGGGAAAAATCCTGGAGCACAAAAAAAGTAATCAAATGCATGTACAACGGATGTGTAATGTGAACCTCACAGCAGCCTATGCTATTGTCTCACTCACTTTTACAACGGAAGATCAGGAATATAGCCAAATCTCCTCTTTCTGATAAAACTAAGCTGATGAGGATTTTGTGGTTGCCTTCATAGGGTATACATCAATATTGTATGATTGGGGTTTGGGTAAGTACAATTTTGTGGGTAGACCTCTTACAAATCTTTAAGTAAATGCATTTGATAATTCTACGTTTTGAGAGATTTCAGTTAAACATAAAAACAAAAACAAACCATCTTCAAAATAGCATTAAACAATGAATATTTGTTGAATTAATAAATAGAAGTAGAAATAACTGTATTCATTATGTATTCCTGTTATTTCTGCTCACCTAGCTACCTTTTGATTGTAATTTGGCTTCCTCTATTGTTTTTAGCAAAAGAATGACTCCTGTGGTCATTCTGGCATTGCAATTATATTCCTCATAACAACCAAAAAGTTGGCATTGTGGGTTTATGTAAAGACACCTCTAGATTGTGAATGCTTCTCTACAGAGCTTAGCATTGTACCTGAAACTTAGTAGACATCTAATACGTATTAATGAATGTTCCCTGTTTCAGTCTAGGTTACCATTCCATATAGTCTATGCACCAATGAAGATACTCTCTTTCTGTGTGTCTCCCTAAAAATTCACATCCTGAAATCCTAATACCAAGGTGATGGCGTTAGGAGTTAAGACCTTTGGAAGGTGATTAGGTCATGAGAGCCCTCATAAAAGAGGTCTCACAGAGCTCCCTAGCTCCTTCCAACACATAAAGATCCAGGGAAAGGATGACCGTCTATTAAAAAGCCCTCACCAGACACCAAATCTACTGGCACAAGCTTCCCAAGCTCCAGTTTATGGTATTTTGTATAGCAGGCGGGACAGACTAAGATGCTCTCATTTTAAGAAACTGGATAAATAGTAATACTAAAAAAATAAAATAAAATAAAATTTGAAATGTAGTGGATGGCTTATCAAACAGGAGACACAGCAGATGAATGTATGGTTATATCACTACCCTCTTTCCTCATTCTGAATCTTTAAGCAAAGCCATTTCCAGCGCAGGTATGGGTTATTGGTTCAGACTAAATTACGTGGCATAAGCCTACTCCTAACATTTTGATGCAAGTAAAAATGAGTTAAAATGAAGAACTGGGAAAACCCTTATGGGAGAAAAAAAGGGATAGGTGACACAAAATTGCATCATGTAACTTTGGAGAGGTAGGGAGGAGAAGGTGGCCATTGTTGTTAGATCGCCCTTGCCATATGCCTAATGGGGAAGGGAGGATGGCAGGCTGTGCAGATAAGCTGCTTCAGTCTTCCATAGTACTGTACAAGCCAGCCGACTTTGTCTCTTTTTCTCTCCTTTTCTCTCCTGTACCAACGAGAATGTCCTCAATTTTGGTTCTACATCCACGTGGTTATTGCAGCAGCATAGATCCATAAGTGCCAGAAGTCTGAATCAATCATACTTATTTGGCTTTTATGAAGGAGGCTTGGTCTTGGGGAATTAGTAAAATACAATAGAACGCTTTACAGCATATTACCGTGGATGTTCAGATACTGCTATGTCAATTGTATATGCTAATGCTATAGTGGTGAGACGCTACCTGACATCTGTTCCAACAGGTAGGAACTGTAAAGGAAGAACCCTTCCCACTTTTTGTCAGGATTATATGACCTGAAAAATGCTCTAGAAAGCAAAAGTAGGAAAATAATAGCAGGAAGAGCCACTAGAAGTCACATAAAAGAAGAAAGAAGAGTTTATTTTATTTTTTTAGTATTACTATTTATCCAGTTTCTTAAAATGAGAGTATCTTAGTCTGTCTGTCTTCTTTTTAAAGAAGAAAGTTGAGAGCAGCTTTGCAGACTTCCAGCTGATATGGTTAAGGAATAATAAGGAAATTAACACGTAGTTAAGTGATGTTACATATTATACTTCAAGTATCTTTTGTTCATGGTCAGCACCGGGCAGACTACTTGAGTCTGTCCTTCCAGCCCTAGCTCATCAGCGAGGGGCAGAAGCAATCTCACCTCCCACAAACACTGATTGACTTCTCTCCTTACCAAATTCTACACCAAAATAGGTCAGGAGAGAATCTGGGCTTCTCTTTTCCTGCCAGCTGGATTGTGGTCTGTTTGAGTTTTGTTTTTTGTTTGTCTTTGAGGATCAACATCTTCAAGAATGACCATACTACCTAAAATAGTATGGCCTTATATAATGAACCACAAGATGATAATCTTCTCAATATAACCTAGAAAGCACATTTAAACAATGGAAACCTTCATTCAACACAGAGAAGGGAGTAACTTTTTTTTATAGGGGATAATATTCATTAATAGGAATTGTACTATACTTAATAGTTAAAATTTGGCTAAAATAGTCTTACCAGATAGCAACATAGGTAGGTCATGTTCAACCAAGAAACCTAAAAGGATAGAGATATTTTAAATATTGTGATAACCTTTATCTTAAATCCCCTTTATAGTATTCTTCACAGTGTACTTTAATGTCTCTGTTCACTTTCCTGTATCCCCCACTAAGCTTTAAGGTCCTTAAAGAAGGAACTGAGTATCTCCCATTCTCTTTTGTATCGGAAACTAGCACAGAGATGCCTGACAAACTGGTGACCATTAAAACACTAGAATGAATGCTTTCGCCAGCAGTAAATAGATCACAGCTCATACCCAATTTCATATTCTGCACATTGTCAACGGAAAGACTGGAGAAGAAATTGATAAGCAAATGCTCAGAGAGCAGTATAAATGGAAACAAGGGCTCTGATCTTAGCTGTTTTAAGTCAGGGCTGTAGTGTCCAGTTGGCCAGGTTTTTCATTGAACAAGATTATCCAGTTGAGAGCGTAAATCGAGGCAGAATTCCAGTCCATGAACACAGCTCTGTATCTGCCCACAGGAAGCAATGCCTTTTTTTCCGAACTCATACAAAAGCACTGTATAGTGCTCGCTTCAGCAGCACATATACTAAAACTGGAAAGATACAGAGAAGATTAGCATGGCCCCTGTGCAAAGATGATACGCAAATTCATGAACCGTTCCATATGTTCAAAAGCCAAAAAGGACTCATGGACGTGGACAACAGCGCGGTGCTGATTGCTGGGGCGGGGGGGGGGGGAGGGCATAAGGGGACTAAGTAGTAATGGAAAAATAATATAATGAAGATTAAGTCAATTAAAAAATAAAGCTGCAGTAGATGAATATGAGACACCGTAGAAGCTTTAAGACACTTTTACACTTTTAATAATTATTTAATCTCTGACATCCTAGATCCCGGCGATAAAAACTCTCCTACAGAGCTGACTTCACCACAAAGGGAGGGGGGAAAAAGTGAATATTGTTTGATCTTGAATTGAGAACACTTTGATTGGAGCTTTTCTCTGGATTGTCAACACAGGGTGACAGGGTTATAAAACATTTTTTGCAATATAAAAGAACTGCACAGGGGAATCTCAGCATTCTACTTGAACTCAGAAAATGAGTTACAGAATCAGAGATACATAAAGAACAGGAAGAAACCTTGAAGGTCAAGAGAATTCCATTGCTAGAAGAGGCTTTAGAGACCAATCCAATAATGACTTTATTTTACAGATGAGGAACCCAAAGAGAGCAAGGAGATAAGTGATTTGCCTCTGGCTAGTTAGCAAAAGTAAGTCTAGAACCGACTTGTTTTCTGGTGTTTAATCTAATAATCTTTGTATCACAACTGGCTGGATCGCCATCATTATAATAAACAGTGTGTACCCACTGTGTGGGACAGGTTGAGACATAGACTTTGTCACCATCAAGGGCCATATACAATGAAGTGGAGAAAACAGGAAATAAATATCGAAAGATGAGCGATAATATTAGATGGCATATGAAGGGAAGTTTAAATTTGGGTTTCTGAGTGGGAGTGGTGACGCCAACAATAGGAATTGGTAGGTATGAGGCGTGGGCCGGAGTGCCCACATGTTGGCAAACAATTCTGGAAGGACCAGAAACAGGTGACTGAGAAGGTCCAGCTGGGGCCACAAGCGGGCCTAAGGTTACAAAACGATCAGGAGAATCCAACAACCAGAGCCCTCTCGATCCGTATCTGAACTGAACCTTTGGTTTGCTGAACCAGACTGCAACGATTGGCGTAAGTCTCTCCACATCGGGGTTCTGACCCCTAGGAGGGCGGGGCCAAGACAGCAGTACAGGAAGCAGAGAAAGAAATCAAAAGAAAATTGAGAAATCCAACGAGCTGCCGCGTGCCCCGAACTGGGTGGCCAGGTGCCCTGAGATGACTCCAACCAGCCACCAGCAAAGGGTATGACTTGCCCTAGGCGCCGACTGAGACGGAGCTTCCGGGCAGCGCACGAGATGGGCGGGGTGGGGCCGGGGCGAGCACCGCCTACGTCAGGCTGCGTGACAATGGGTGGACGGCGGAACGCAGAGGCGGCAGGCGGCGGCAGCCCTCATGGGGGGCGGAGCCAGCGCCGCTGCCTCCGCAGCCCGGGTCGGGATTTGAAAGATTAAGAAGTCCCGGCGGAGAAGACGGTGGCGTTGAATGCGTGGCGGAAGCGTTGGGGACACGGCCTGGCGCGGAGCAGGACAGCGGGCAGCGTCTCCACAGCATGAATCACCCGGACTTCGGGTCCCCGCGGAGCCTCGGGTCCTCGCGGAGCCTCGAGCATAACGGCCGGGGCAGTGGCGGCGCCGCCTGGGAGCTGGGCTCGGAGGCGGACCAGGCGTTCCGCGGTAGTGTCTGCTGCTTCGACCACCTGCCCGGCGGAGACCCTGGCGACGGCGAGGTGCCCCTGGCCCTGCTGCGCAGGGAACCGGGGCTGCACTTGGCGCCGGGCGCGGAGGATCCCAACCACCACCTGGCGCTGGACCCTTGCCTCAGTGACGAGAACTATGACTTCAGCTCAGCGGAGTCCGGCTCCTCGCTGCGCTACTACAGCGAGGGTGAGAGCGGCGGCGGCGGCAGCTCCTTGTCCCTGCAGCAGTCACCACTGGTGCCGTCGAACTCGGGGGGCGGCGGGGCGGCAGGAGGGGGTCCCGGGGAAAGGAAGCGCACCCGGCCTGGCGGCGTAGCCGCCCGGCACCGCTACGAGGTGGTGACGGAGCTGGGCCCGGAGGAGGTGCGCTGGTTCTACAAGGAGGACAAGAAGACCTGGAAGCCCTTCATCGGCTACGACTCGCTCCGCATCGAGCTCGCCTTCAGGACCCTAGTGAAGGCCACGGGCGGCCTACCCCAGGCCGAGGACCCAGACCGTGACCATGTGTGTGGCCCGGCCACAACCGCGGGCCCGGCCTCCAGCTTCGAGGAAGATGACGACGAGGACCGTGTCTGCGGCTTCTGCCCGCGCACCGCGAGGCACGAGCCCGAGATGGAGCAGCTGGTGAACATCGAGCGGGTGTGTGTGCGGGGCGGCCTCTACGAGGTGGATGTGACCCAAGGAGAATGCTACCCGGTGTACTGGAACCGTGAGTAGCCGGCCGGGGGAGGGAGCGGGGACGGGCTGCCTCTGCAGGGGCTGGTTTTGGGACTTGATCCCCGTGAAAAAGGAGGCGCCTGAGGCCTGGTGTTTGGTCCGGGTAGTTAGGATATTCTGCGGGGCACCGGCAGGTGAAGGGTAAACGAGCAGCTGACAAAATCCAGGCTGCCTGGGGTCAGGAAGAGAGGATACCACCGGGGAAGCACCTCCTCGAGCTGGTGCTGCTGCCATCCCCTGGAGACGATCCAGGAACGGATTCCCTGCCCAAAAGGTTTAATTTTCTCGTGATTCTACCTGAGCTTTGTGCTCTGGGTATCTGATTGGGTCTCATTGATCCTGCACTGCCTATGATTTAAATAGCAGCAGCCTGTCTGCTGGAGTGGGAATATTTGAGAGGATCTGCTCGAGAATCAGCAGTTTAGTTACGGACCAGGGAAAAGAAAATCCCTGGCGGGAAAGGAAAAGAGATAAGTGCCGTTCCCTCCGGGTGCGCTCGGAGAGTTGTCAAGCACTGCGTAAAGCAGTTCTGGCAAGTGCGCCCGCTCATTCTATGGAATAGTCATTTTTTGTTTCTTAGGCCCTTGTTTACATATTTTTATTTTTGTCTCGACTTCGGAAAGTTACAAGGCCTGTGCGCTGATTTCCTCATCTGTAAAATACGTATATCTACCTCAGGATTGTTGTGGGGACTAAATGAGATGACACACCTAAAGGGCTTGAAATTGCTTCGCACATATGGGTGATGTATGTTAACAGTGAGCCCCTACTTATTAGATGACAACTCAGGTATATAATTACATTAAGGAGGAAGGCTATCAACTCTCTGCCATTTCATGTAGCAAAATATGTAGTAGATATTGTATAGTAAAAGGAGCTATTGGACACCAATAATTTGTAATATGCAGTTTTAGTTTATACAGCCCAGCGCCCTAACTCATGTCTTGATTGTTACTGGCCTTAAGTTCTCCACACATACTACAACATTCTGCTTTGTATTAATTATATATAGATGACTTAGCTTTCTTTCTATATGTTAGAATTTTATCGGCAGAGTCCATCACCTTATCATTGTACTCTTATAGGACTTTGTGCAGTAAATATTCAATAAGTAGATACTGAATTGCATAAGTGATTCAGATAATATTAAAACATTCATATGTTAAGCATGAATCACTAACATAGCAATTAAAACATGTATCAAATCCCCAAATAAAATAAGCATAGCAGGAAATTTAATTTCTTGCTACATTTTAAGATGACATTGAAGGTATTTAGCCTTTCCATAAGACCAGATTCTTAATGGGATCTCCCACATCACTCCTTTTGACTGTAAGCTTACTAAGGACAAGGTGTGCTATATTCATTCATTCATTTAGCTCTTTCATTTTACTGTGTAGTTGTGCATAACCCAGTACTCTTAGGAAGGCATTAGGAAAGGTGGAAAAAAGGACAAACCTTATCCTTCAGGAGCTTCCGACTTAGTCTTTTCTTCAAATGACCTAGACATCACTGTAGATATTTTTCCTTTGAAGATAGAAGTACAAGGACTGAGTGGAGCCAGAAAGTTGGATAAAATTCCAAGCATCCTTTCCAAGATTGAGAAATGAATTTTACCCTGAGGTCAACTGAACTATATTCACCTACAATACTATGTGCTCTTTTGGCTTATGACAAAATTATTAATGCTTGCACAGTGTTTTACTATTTACAAAGTGATTTTCCACATTTTTTAATATTAATATCAAGTAAATGCTAACATTCTGCATATAAAGAAGCAGACTCATTGAAATTAATGAACTTGCCCAAGGTCACACAGCTAGAAAGTGTTAAAGCAGTTCATAGTCTAGAGCAGTCAGTGCCCAAAGAGCTTCTGATCCACTGAAGGATGAGGGTATAGGGAAAGTTTCCCACATAATGTAAGACCAAGTCCTAAAACATTGCTTTAATTAGGCAGAAGAAATGGAGATGTGGAGGGAAAGTAATTGCTTGCATGTGGGTTAACATATGCAATGACACAGAAGCATAAAACTGCATGGCATTTTGAGAAAATCAGGGCTGCACAAGGTAGGTTTAGCATTTGATCACCACAGAGACAGAGGTGTTAGGTCAGGAACAGGAGGAGCTTATGAAAGGAGCACCTGCTTGTGAATGGCACATTTGGGAAGGTAGCAAGAAAAAGAAAAGGGTGGACCCAGTGCTGAGCAGTTAGACTTTATCGTGTGAGTAAAGGGGAATCAAACAGTTGAAGGTTGTCTGTTATTCAAGTGATAAGTGACAACACGAAGGTTGAATTGGAGAGTTGGAGGACATGTTAGCATGCTAATATCATAAATCAAGTGAGAAACAGTGAGGACCTGAAGTTAACCTGAAGGGAACCCGGAGGGAAACTTAGTCTTCTTGAATAGCAACACCTATATTGAATTCATTGTAGCATTTTCTAATTATTCCACACTATAAATCCCATTGGTGTCCCAGGCCTTCATATTAGCTACAGTGGAAATACAATAGTGCTTTTGGTCCATCATTTCCCACTTGTCACAAAATCCCATACAACTTTGATCTAATTGGTTCTTCAAGTCTCTTTGTATTATGTTTTCACACCTTCTCAGGAAGGTTTATTCCCAGTATGGTCTCTTCAGCCTTTCTTGAAATGGAAGGACTCTTAGGATACTTGGCAGATTTTGACTGTTGTCCCATTTTACTTTTTTTAAAAGATATTTTTTATTTAATTTTAGAGAGTGAGGAAGGGAAGGAGAAAGAGGGAGAGAAACACCAATGTGTGGTTGCCTCTCATGTGCCCATGAGTGGGGACCTGGCCTGCAACCCAGGCATGTGCCCTGACTGGCAATTAAACTGGTGATCCTTTGGACTCTCAGACCAGCGCTCAATCCACTGAGCCACACCAGCCAGGGCCCATTTTAATTTTTTTAAAACCTTTTAGAAACTTTCTGAATAGTGGTAGTGAAAAGTTAAAAAAAAAAAGAAGTAGTCCAACAAGTTCCTACAGAGAATGGTAGAAGCATTCCAGTGGCCATTTAAACTTTTGTGGCCTAATTGAGCCCACTGCATCTGGGTGTCAAGGCCAACAAATTATATCTAGTCCAAAAGAAAGTTGTTGATTTAAATTTATATTTAATCTTCCTTTTGAACTCTTACTAGCAGGTAGTAGTTGAAACAATTTGAGGGTGCATGAATCAGAAGGGATACAGAATTCATCTATAGATACAAAGCAAGTACTACATATGAAAAAGTATTAATTATGGGAAATTTTGTGCTTGTTTCATTGTCTGTTAAGATATTTTCCTGACTGCATGTGGAAATTTTAGATAAAACCTGATCACTGCTGAGTAATGCCTAAGTGAACTCCCTTGCTACCTGACTTCTTCCTTAAGCTGCTTGTAGCTATGTCATAGGCTTGTTTTGAGAATTATATATAACATGCTTAGAATCCCAGAAAACTATACCTTATTTGTAGAAACTCACAGGAAAGTTAATAATGCTGACCAGTGCAAAATTGTACCTTATGACAGACAAAACACTGTAAAAATATTAGCAAGAAAGTGGCCAAAGCATTTAGTAATAGCTATGGGAAGGCATATGGAACATTATAGAAATATTTGAGGAGTTTAGAATAGTGTATAGCAATTCTGATTCATATATGCAGCGTGCACTAGAAAATATGTAATATCCATTCATTGACTAAGTTTATAAAGTTATTTAATTGTCCAAATATTTACATGAATGTGTAGTTTCCAGAAGCAATCATTTAGCTATAAGCTTTCTTTCCCTCCCTTTTCTGGTGTATTTATAAGGCCTACTTGCATTATTATCATTCTAAACCATTTTAAGTTCCAGACACTTTGTTTATTTATTCTCTTATTCTAGAGAGAGGGGAAGGGAGGGAGAAAGAGAAGAGAATAGTCAATGTGACAGAGAAACATCAATCAGTTGCCTCCTACCCGCACCCCTAACTGAGACCCAGCCCACAGTCCAGGCATGTGCCCTGAATTAAACCCACAGCCTTTCAGTTTGTGTGATGACGCCCAATCAAGTGAGCCACACTGGCCAGGGCAGTTTCAGACACTTCAAAAATTAACTAATATTCATAATACAGGGTGGGGGCAAAAGTATATCAAGAATAAACTCAAAACTGTAAACCTACTTTTGCCCCTCCCTGTATATTGAAAATAATATTCCCAATAAAATGAGGTAGGAAAATTAGGGTTTTGGTTTTGTTTTTTTGTTATTTTTTTTTTCTGTAAGTACCCACATTATGTGATGTTTGGGATAGCGGTAATCACCTCTTAGGTCTTTTTCATTCTAGGGTTAATAACCTTAATGATTAATAACCCTTTATGACGCACAGGGTATCATGGGAAAGTAATGGAGTCCAAGCTGGTAGAAGGCACTCTTTCTTGATCAGTTTCTGCCTCCAATAGAGCAGAACTATACGGAATAGCAACCGGATATGGACATGCTGACTGTAGTATCTCCCACTAGCCCAGAATAGAAAGCAGCTTTGAATGGCACTAAAATCCTAGCTGCTCAGGTTTGTGGAACCCTAGCATAGTTTTCTGAGAACACCATTGTATATCTAGCCTGCATAAGACTGCATTTTTCATTGACCTACTGAAGTAGCCTAAGGATATGAATGACTAATGAGTGACATGTGTGGAGCACAGGACTTGGTACTACCTGAACAAGGCATTCAGGACTTTACTTTCCCTTTGCAGTGTTCATTCGTTTAAAAACCCATCTAGTATCAGTTATTTATCCACCTCGTTTGTGTGCGACTCAAATATAGTATTGCATGTCATGCAAGTGCTGTATATAAATGTTCAAAGTATTTAGTATGGCTTTCTTTCCTCCATTTGTTATGCCCTTTTTCCTCTTTTACTGGATTGGTTGTTTGGAATTCTGATTGACTAAAAAGGTTCTTCTGTCTTTTATGGACAGGTGCAAAACCCATCCAAGTGTATGGTAGGTAAC